GGTTTTCTTTCTGAGGGTAGTGTGGTAAAAAAGAACATTTGCTACCTTGTTAACATTTAACATCTATTCTTCAGTAATTAGGTAATGTTAGACAACAGGGTTCTAACTTAATCCTCTGCCAGTTTTATGAGAATTTGTTTTCTGTATCTTAGAAAATGCTACTTTTCTAATGAGATATGGTGTATTTGAACTTTGTTACCATTGTAATGTAATACATAGATTGGTAAACGGTTGTTACATTTATTGTTTCTTATCTGAGTGACTGGCAGAGATAACCATAGTGTAGTTTCATCTTCTGTGCTAAAATCTGCTGGTTGTCCTTTTGTATGATAAATTGTGAAGAGTTAGAGATTTCTTTTCTTTTCTTTCTTTCTTTTTTTTAAGCCACTGCTATTATTTTCAGGTTAATCTGATTCTCTTCGATTGTCATTTATGACTCCTGCCTGGGAGGTCTGGGTCTAGTGTGTGCATGGAGGGTAGTGTGTGGTCATGCTACCACTTGTTCTTTTCTGACTGTGGTAAACTTGATGTGGATTTCCTTCTGCCTGGCTGACTTTTTTCTGTGCACTCATTAATTCCCACTGCCATACACAAGGAATATTGCTCTACATTTAAAAAACTTGTTGGTGCACTGTGTTAAGAGGTTCAAATTCTTAGCCCATGAACAGGTTGGTAAGTAGTGGACTTCATTTCTTCTTTTTGGCTCATTCATTCAGTTACTTTGCTGTGTAAGTGGCTTTTTGTACTTATGTCTTACATTATAAAATATTTTCTTTATAGTGTTTACTTTCCTTTGTGAGGGTTACTCTGTAGCTTGGGCTGGCCTTGACTTTGGCAATCCTCCTATCTTAGCCTCCCAATTGTTGGGATTACAGGTATGTAAGAATGTGCCAAGTTTTTTTGTTTTTTGTTTTTTGTTTGTTTGTTTGTTTGTTTTTTGTTTGTTTTTTTTTTTGAGTCAGGGTTTCTCTGTGGCTTTGGAGACTGTCCTGGAACTAGCTCTTGTAGACCAGGCTGGTCTCGAACTCACAGAGATCCGCCTGCCTCTGCCTCCCGAGTGCTGGGATTAAAGGTGTGCGCCACCAACGCCGGCCCAAGTTTGTTTTTGAGATAGGATGTTATTTCATATCCTCGGCTTCCTCTGAACTCTCCATCCTTCTTTTCCACCTCCAAAATACTGGTATAATAGGACTGTGCCAATACAACCACCTGGTTCATAGGCTTTAGTGTTTAAATATTTTGCTTCTGTTGTTTTTTTAAAAAATACCTTATTCTTTGTGATTCTTTCTGGATTTTAGTATTCTTCCCCCTTTTGGTACTTTGTTAGCTTATAAAATTTTAGTTGATTTTTTTGTGTCCAGCCACTCTGCTGAATTATTTCTATCAAATGTATGCGTGAAGTACATATGTGTAAAAAGCAGACATTTTACTTCTCCCTAATTGGATTGGCATTATTTCTTGTTTGAGTGCTTTGGCTAAAGTTTCTTCTGGAGATAAGTTGTAAGACAAGGGTAACAGTTTTTGGTTTTGTTCTTTTTTGGGGAAGCAGGGGTGGGATCTATTATTGAGTCCTATTTATCAAAAATGGTCCTTTCTTCTTTCGAGGCAGAGACATGAGGATCTCTGTGAGATCAACACCAGCCAGGGCTGCACAGTGAGACCCTGTTGCAAAATCAAAACAGAAAGGAACTAACCTTTTCTATTGAATTGGAGTAATAATAAGATAGGTGACTCTCGACATGTGGGTGTGTGTGTCTGAACACACATCTCTTACTTTGTTTATCCTTGTACGTACAGCAGTCTTAATTACTATGAAGTCTTGAAATGTAATATATATTCAGGCTTGTTATTGTTTCTCTTTTGTTTTATTGTTTGGTTAGTTTTTCCAGATAGGTAGTCCTGGCAGTCCTGCAACTTGCTCTGTAGATCATGCTGGCCTCAAACTCACAGAGATCTGCCTCCTTTTCCCTCCTGAGTGCTGGGATTAAAGGTATATTTTGTTTATTTCAAGATTGTTTTGGCTTTTCTTTGTCTTTTGTATTTTCACGTGAAGTTTTTGTGGAACAGATGATCAAATCCAGAGCTTTGAACATGCTAAGTAGCTGCTGAACTACATCCCCACTGATTCATTTAAGTTTTAATATCAGTTTGTTAGTCTCTAAGTGACTTTGCACTGTGTGTGTGTGTGCGTGTAATTTTATGTGTATAGTATATGTGTGCACCACATGCATTCAGTGCCTGTATAGGCCAAAAGAGGGTATTGGATTCTCTGGGATGGTTCTAAGTCACTTTGTGATGCTAGGAATAGAACCTGGATCCTCTGGAGAATCATGTAGGGCTCTTAAGTGCTGAGCCATCTCTCCAGCCTTCTTTGCTTAGATTTTTTTCTTCTTACATGTATTGGGATTAAGTGCACCCCCATGCCCATTGTGTATACAACACACCTGTGCATGCTGGAGTGTGTGGGCATGAATGTGAGTGAGTGGGATTTTGCATTGGAAAATGGACATTTTAATGATAGTTGCTCAATCTTATGTGGTTTTGTTGTTGTTTTGTTTTTCTAGAGAGGGTTTCTCTGTAGCTTTGAAGGCTGTCCTGGAACTCACTCTGGAGACCAGGCTGACCTCAAACTCACAAAGATCCACCTGCCTCTGCCTCCTGAGTGCTGGGATTTAAGGCGTGCGCCACCACCACCCAGCCAATCTGTGTTTTATTTATCTCTGCACTTATTTAGGTCTTTATGTAGAGACAGAGAAATTTGATATGTAGTTTAGACTTACTCTTTCTGCCTTAGTCTTTTGTGATAGGATTTCAGGCATTTGCTACCTCACTCATTTTAAAAATTTACCAACAAGCATGAAGAGGCAGGTGGATTTCTGTGAGTTCAGGTCAACCTGGTTTAAATAGGAAGAACCCAGGGCTACATAAAGAGACTATGTCTAAAAAAAACAAACAGGGGCGCTGGAGAGATGGCTCAGCAGTTAAGAGCACTGACTGTTCTTCCAGA